AGCAGGAAAATAACTCTAAATACCTTATTGTGTATAGAGTGTTCCTTAATAACACTCATCAATCACTCTGTGCTGGACCAAGCTCCCTAAGGATTGGAACTGTGTCTATTCATTTATCTTATTTTACCCCAGCACCTGGCATAGGTATTTAGTACATTTGCAATGAGTGAATGTAGTATAAAGTCATTCTTCTATGACCTTCAAGTCAGTTGCAGCTTCCAGAGTTTCCCATAAGTACCGTCATTTTGCAGTCTGCTTCTACTCATAGCAGACAGTAGCTGTGAGTGCCAACTTTTTAAAAGTACAGGAGAAACACTTAAGATTTAAAAAATTATAGCCATTAACTAAAATGTTTTTATTTTATGAAATGTGAAAATATTGCATTATTTTTGTTTTAATGTGAAGAAAATTGATCTAGCTAATAGAACTAATAGTGTTCCAAAGGAGTATAATTTCAGAACTGTTGTTCTAGTGAATTCATAAGTACCCTTTCCATGGCCAATAATGAGTTTTCTTTTGCCTAGTAATGCTCACAGAACCCCTGTCGCCCTAACAGTGTTGTGGAATGTCTATGGTGACTGTGATAACTATGCTACATTGAAGGGACACAGTGGAGCAGTGATGGAACTGCATTATAACACAGACGGCAGGTGAGTATTCTGCATAGTGGGTGACAACTGCTTCTTATAGTAATTCTTCTTGGCATCCTTTCACATTTCATCCCTGAGTTTTCTCTCAGGAGACTGTGCTGTCAAAAACTACTGCGTTTTATGGACTTGAAGACACGGGGAAGAGGAAGGGTAAGCTGGGACAAAGTGAGAGAGTGTCATGGACACATATACACTACCAAATGTAAAATAGATGGCTAGTGGGAAGCAGCCACATAGCACAGGGAGATCAGCTCGGTGCTTTGTGTCCACCTAGAGGGGTGGGATAGGGAGGGTGGGAGGGAGACGCAAGAGGGAGGAGATATGGGGATATATGTTTATGTATAGCTTATTCACTTTGTTATAAAGCAGAAACTAACACACCATTGTAAAGCAACTATACTCCAGTAAAGATGTTTAAAACAAAAAAACTGCGTTTTGGACAACCACTTTATTATCCTATCGCTGTAACCCAAGTAAGGTGTTTATTGTTCCATGTATGCATTTATAGACACATCACCTCTATCTAACATATCAACATCGCAGAAAAAAAATTTTAAGACATAAAATGTAATTTACATATATAAAAATTAGCAACTTTTATTATAAAAGTAATAATAAAATAATCTATTTCAAGAAAACTCAGAAAAAAAGCAGGAAAATGACCAAATAGCCCACGTTTTTACCGCTCCAAAGATAATCAGTTAATGTTATGATATGTTTTTCTCAAGCCTTTTTCCTATTCAGAACAGTTTGGTTTTTTTGTATATATTAGAACTGCTTGTGGGAGTTCCCTGGCAGTCCAGTGGTTAGGACTCAGCGCTTACACTGCCGTGGCCTGGGTTCAGTACTGGTCGGGGAACTAAGATCCCACAAGCCATGCAGTGCAGCCAAATTTAAAAAAAAAAGAGCTACTTGTACAATCTTGTCTGCTGCTTTTTACCCTTAACGTTACTCACCTGTCACATCTGTTTACTATAACATACTATTTATTATAAATATTTTAACAATTGCATAACTTTAGAATAGCTACAGATAATATAAAAATGTGGTTATACAAAGTTAATTAATCCCATTCGGTATTTCAGTAAACATTTATTGTTTTACAGCTCTGACCCCTAAAAATTTCAGGGTTCCCTGAACAACTGGGTGCATAGCCTTGTGTAAATTTTTCCTATTTGAGTAAAGAAAGCATTGTAAATTCAATCATAACTTAGAAATCATCCTCAGAGACAAAAGCTTTTGAGTTTTAGAGAGAGTTACCAAGCCATTGGGTCAGGAATTGCTACAGTGTGTCTCACCTCCGCAGCAGGGAGTGATTAAACATTTCCAAGTGGAAGGATGTGTAAAGTGTTGTATATCAAAAAGGAGGGAAAGATTGAGAAGACTGCTGTATTAGATGTATAATGTGGGGACTGACAGAGGAAAATTTTTTTTACATTTCGTAGGGCAGACCTTATAACTGAGTCTAGAGCACGATTAGGATTTTGTTATGTAAGGTGAGGCATTCCAGCATCAGGTGCCAAGCTGTCAGAGCACATGTTAGTGATCTTGAAAACTTTGGCACGTTTTGGCAAGTGGAGAAGATAGATTGCTATTCCTTGTCTTCACTTATCTTTTTGTTCTTCCTCTCACCTTCTAGTATGCTCTTCTCAGCATCCACAGATAAAACTGTGGCGGTGTGGGATAGTGAAACAGGCGAGAGAGTTAAAAGACTGAAGGGGCACACTTCCTTTGTGAATTCCTGTTATCCGGCCAGGAGGGGTCCCCAGCTTGTCTGCACTGGCAGTGATGACGGTACAGTTAAGGTGGGTGTTGTCTGTGTGATGAGGGTTTCTGGGGTGACATAATGTGAACCTTATCTTGTCTTCCCACCTGTGCTTTACCCTCCTCTCCACAACTTTGTTTCATCAGACATTTCCCAAAACAGACACTATTTAAAATATGTTTAAAATAATAAGCAGTTGAGGGTTTTTTCTTTTTTTAGGTATCATATAGAATAATATTACAACTCTGTTGAACCATTGTGACTTGGAATAAAGTGGACCACCATCCAAGAATAATTGGATTCTTGACTTAGCTGTTTACTTAATTGTGTGACCATAGGCAGTTCACTTTTCTGATCCTCAGCTTATCAGTCTTTAGAACACTGACAATAATATACATGTCTTACAAGACTGTTATGTAATTATAGTCAGTATAATAAAAAGGTTTTATATACTGACTATACAGTATGTGGTTTTAGCAACAGGATGGGGTATTAAAAGTCATTAAGTCCAATGATTGCCGATCTATATGCATATCAGAATTACGTGAAGAACGTGCTAAAAATACCCAGATTCTGGTTTAGTAGGTCTGGAATGGGATTTTTTTTGTTTTGTTATTGGATATTTGTTGCTGCAGGTGGGCTTTCTCTAGTTGCGGGGAGCAGGGGCTACTGTTCATTGCAGTGCGTGGGCTTCTCATTGCGGTGGCTTCTTTTGTTGTGGAGCATGGGTTCTAGGTGTGTGGGCTTCAGTAGTTGTGGCATGCGGGCTCAGTAGTTGTGGTTCATGGGCTCTAGAGCTCAGCCCCAGTAGTTGTGGTGCACAGGCTTTGTTGCTCCGTGGCATATGGGATCCTCCCGGACCAGGGCTCGAACCCGTGTCCCGTGCATTGGCAGGCAGGTTCTTAACCACTGTGCCACCAGGGAAGTCCCAAGACTTTATTTATTTTTTTTATTTATTTATTTATTTTAAACGAAAGGCATCTGTTCACAGCTTTCTTTTTTTTTTTTTAAAGAAGATTTTGGGGATAGGAGTTTATTAATTAATTTATTTATTTTTGCTGCTTTGGGTCTTCATTTCTGAGCAAGGGCTATCTCTGGTTGTGGCAAGTGGGGGCCACTCTTCATCACGGTGCGCTGGCCTCTCACTATTGCGGCCTCTCTTGTGGAGCACAGGCTCCAGATGCACAGGCTCAGTAGTTGTGGCTCACGGGCCTAGTTGCTCCGCGGCATGTGGGATCCTCCCCGACCAGGGCTCGAACCCGTGTCCCCTGCATTAGCAGGCAGACTCTCAACCACTGCGCCACCAGGGAAGCCCCAAGACTTTATTTTTTTTTAGAGCAGTTTTAGGTTCACTGCAAAATTGAGGGGAAGGTACAGAGATTTCCCGTATATCCACTGCCCCCACCATGGATAGCTTCCCCCCACCAGAGTGGTACCTTTGTTACAATTGATGAACCTACATTGACATGTCATTATCATCCAAAGTCCATAGTTTACGTTAGGGTTCACTTTTAGTGGTGTACATTCTTTGGGTTTGGACAGATGTGTAATGACATGTATCTGGCACTATGGTATCATACAGAGTATTTCAACTGCCCTAAAAATCCTTTATGTTCCACCTATTCATTCCTCTCAACCCCAGGGAACCACTGATCTTTTTGCTGTCTCCTTAGTTTTGCCTTTTCCAGAATGTCATATATAGGTAGACTCATAAAGTGTATAGCCTTTGCAGATTGGCTTTTTTCACCTAGTAATATGTATTTAAGATTCCTCCATTTTTTTTCATGACTTAATAGTTCATTTCTTTTTGGTGCTGAATAACATTCCATGTTGGATGTACCACAGTTTATTTATCCATTCACCTACTGAAGGATATCTTGGTTGCTTCCAAGTTTTGGCAATTATGAATAAAGCTGCTCTAAACATCTGTGTGTAGGTTTTTGTGTGGACCTAAGGTTTTAACTCTTTGGGTAAATACTGAGAAGCACAGTTGCTGGATTGTGCAGTAAAGGTTTTATAAGAAACTGCCAAACTGTCTTCCAAGGTGGCTGCACCATTTTTTCTTCCTACCAGCAATGAATGAGTGTTCCTTTGTTCCCCATCCTTGTCTGCATTTGGTGTTGTCAGTGTTTCAGATTTTGGCCTTTCTAATAGGTGTGTAGTAGTATCTTACTTTTGTTTTACTTTGCATTTTCCCAATGATATATGATGTAGAGCATCTTCTTTTTTCCAGTTTTATTGAGAATAATTGACATACATCACTGTACAAATTTAAGGCATGCAGCAAGATGGTTCGATTTACATATATTGTGAAATGATTATCAGTAGATTTGACCAACATCCATCTTCTCATATAGATACAACAAAAGGGAAAAAAATGGGAAAATTTTTTTCTTGTGATGAGAACTCTTAAGATATACTGTCTTAACTTTACTATATATCGTATAGCAGTGTTAGCTATAGTCATCATATTGTACATTACATCCCTAGTACTTATGTATCTTATAACTAGAAATTTGTACTTTTTGACCACCTTCCTCCAATTCCCACTTCTTCTACCCTCCTCCTCTGGTAACACAATGTTGAGCTTATTTGCCATCTGTGTACTTCTTTGGTGAGGTATCTGTTAAGTTCTTTAGCTCAATTTTTGATCTGGTTGTTATTTTGTTTTTTTAATAAATTTACTTATTTATTTATTTATTTTTGGCTGCGTTGGGTCTTCATTGCTGCATGCGGGCCTTCTCTAGTTACGGCGAGCAGGGGCTACTCTTCGTTGTGGTGCGCGGGCTTCTCATTGTGGTGGCTTCTCTTGTTGCAGAACACAGGCTCTAGGCACACGGGCTTCGGTAGTTGTGGTATGCAGGCTCAGTAGTTGTGGCTCATGGGCTCTAGAGCGCAGGCTCAGTAGTTGTGGCGCACGGGCTTAGTTGCTTCGTGGCATGTGGGGTCTTCCCAGACCAGGGCTCGAACCTGTGTCTCCTGCATTGGCAGGCGGATTCTTAACCACTGCACCACCAGGGAAGTCTATGTTTGTTATTGTTGAATTTAAGAGTTCTTTACTGTGTTTTGGATAATAGTCCTTTAACAGATGTGTCTTTTCCAAATATTTTCTCAACAGTCTGTAGCTTGTCCTCTAATTTTCTTGACATTTTCTTTCACGGAGAAGTTTTTAATGTTAATGAACTTCAGCTTATGAATGATTTCTTTCATAGATTGTGCCTTTGGTGTTATATCTAAAAGTCATCACCATACCCTAGGTCACCTAAGTTTTCTTCTGTGTTACTTTCTAGGAGTTTAATATTTTACATTTAGGTCTGTGATCCATTTTGAGTTAATTTTTGTGAAAGGTGCAAAAAAATACTCATTGTTTTAAACATGTGGACATACAGTTGTTCCAGCACCATTTGTTGAAGAAACTATCTTTGCTCCATTGTATTGCCTTTGCTCCTTTGTCAAAGATCAATTGACTGTATTTATGGGGGTCTATTTCTAGGCCTTTTATTCTCTTCCATTGATCTATGTGTCAGTTCTTTTGCCATTATCACACTGTCTTGATTACTAGCTTTATAGTAAATCCTGAAGTTGGGTAGTGTCAGTCCTCCAGCTTTGTTGTCCAATATTGTATTGGCAAGTTGGGGTCTCTTGCCTTTCCAGATAAACTCCAATTTGTTGATTTCCGTGAAGTAACTTACTGGAATTTTGGTTGACATTGCATTGATCAGTATGATTGATCTATAGATCAAATTGGGAAGAACTGACATCTTGACAATGCTGAGTCTTCCTACCCGTGAACATGGAATATCTCTCCATTTATTTCGTTCTACTTTGATTTCATTCATTAGAGTTTTTAAGTTTTCCACATAGAGATGTGTACAGGTTTTGTTACATTTACACCTAAGTATTTCTCTTTTTTTGGATGCTAATGTCAATGGTATTGTGTTTTTTAGAGTCGGAATGTTAAATGTGTTCCTCAAGTGATTTGATGTAGCAGGTATGACATTTTGGGAGCCACTGATCTCCAGCTTCCTCACTTTACAAATGAGGAAAATGAGGCCTAGAAATAGTAACCTATTTCAGGGGCACACAGGACATGCTGCTTTGTAGTACCATTTTATTCTTTCTTTGGCACTAGTTTTTGACTCGGGATTTTTTTTTTTATGATAAAACAGGGAGGGATTTCAAAGAGAACATCTGAGAAATCACACTGAACTTGTAGTTGTTGCTTTTTTAAATGAATTTGCTTTTTTTCATAATTAAAGGTGGTGACACTGACTGGATTATCTGCTTTGAGATGTTTTCTACTAAATGGTTTTGTAATAAACAATCACTTGGGCCGCTTGATGCTTGGCTGAGAGTCTGTGGCTTAGGAATAACCACCAGAGGTCTTTTTGTTTTGTTTTGTTTTTGTTTTTTAATAGGTTTATTTTCCTTTTTGTTGAGAGAATTATAGATTCTCATGCTGTTCTAAGAGATAATACAGAGATCCCATTTACTCTTCACCCAGTTTTCAGCAATGTTAACTTGTCTCATAACTATAAAAGGTGACATTGCTATGATCCCTCAATCTTGTGCAGATTTCACAAGTTTCGCATGAAATTCCCAGAGGTCTTAACGTAGGTGTACTATAGTTGGAGAGACCTAACAGCTGATTTGCTAATTGGCATTTCAAAAGGCAGAGGCAAGAGTGCCCTAATGAATTTTGTTAACAAACATTTATTGAGGGCTTGCTTTGGTAACCATCTAGGAACTTATTCTTTTCTCTTTTTTTGGCTGTGGTGGGTCTTAGTTGTGGCACGTGGGATCTTTGTTGCAGCATGCAGCATCTTTTAGTTGCAGCATGCGGGATCTAGTTCCCTGACCAGGGATCAAATGTGGGCCCCCTGCATTGGGAGCATGAAGTCTTAACCACTGGACCACCAGGGAAGTCCTTAGGAACTTTTTCTTGTTTAGTTTCACCTTTTCTTCTTTTACCTTTTCTCTGACTTTGTTTCATTTTGTCTTTGTGCTCATATTTATCTTTGTGCTCATATTTATCTTTCC